GGGGGGAGGGGTTGTTGGGATGTGTTCTTGAAACATCTGGAACTATTTAGAATAACGTTGAATGAGGTTATGGTTTTGTTCTCTTTCATTAGATATATTATGAACTGCTCACACTGAATCCTAAGTGTGTCAAAGAATGCAGGAGTCGTAGGCCCTGTGGGTACCACAGGAAAAGTGTTGATGTACCTCTGATGTATGCATGCACCACGTATTTAATCTATTAATGGAGTATACCACCTGTATGATTCATTTACTGTGGGTGGTTGGCAGGTGCTCTGGTGTGGTTTGCTTCTTCTTTCCTGTCGAACATCTGTTGTCCTTATCTATCCTTCTTTTTTTTTCGTTGTATGTTACTCTCTAGTTATACCTCTAACCTTTCGCATTTACATAATCTATTTGTGTTGCAAGTACTGTAAAATTCTTACTAAAACTAACGCTGTTTCATTTATTTGTCGAATGAGAGCTTCATCTTGCCCTGTGCCAGTAGTTCTGACAAGGACACACATTTTGCTCGGGCACAAACTGTTCCTCTGTTTCATCGTGTGGATTCATTCACTTATTTTGAAATATTGATGTTTATGACTGCTTGTGTTAATTATGTTAAGTTAATAAAGGTGCTGTGAGGATCATGTATATGATTCTTGTTTCATTTCATGACTTTTTTTTTTTACTAAACTTCCATGAGGTTGGGAGAGGGGGGGGGGTGGCTGAAAGTTCAGAGATTACTGTATGCCTTTTGCAATGTTTTTTTATTTAAGAAGTCATATTATATGTTTGTTATTGCTCATGTTTGTGTGTTACCATGACAACAAAAGCTTTGCTAGTCTCAAATCAAAATCTTGGAGGAGGGGGGTATTGCAATTTCTAGATCAGTAACAACGTTTGTTGCTGTTGAGAGTTTGTTGTATTTTTTCATGGGTGGTTGACGGGTGTTCTGATGTGGTTTGTTTCTTCTTTCCTATCAAACATCTATCGTCCTTATCTCTCCTCCTTTTTTGTGTTTTTTACTCTCTTGTAACACCTCTAATCTGCGGTACTTACTTGACCTTATATTGTGAACATGCAAGTGC